CAACTTTTTCAGTGCCTCTTATTTATTTTTCATCAATTATTGTGTAATACAAATGTCTTCCAGCATAAGACCCATTTGGAGGCTTAGGACACAAATGCGCCTTCTGGATCACTAACTAGTCTTTACCTGACCAGATTAGAAAAGAACCCCTTGCCAGTCATGCATTGTGCTTTCCTGAGTCTGCAATTGGGCATATGGGAGAGAATAGTATGCTGTGGGATGGTCTGTATGTCAAATGCTCTGATTGGTCAATAAATAAAACACTGATTGGCCAGTGGCCAGGCAGGAAGTATAGGCGGGACTAACAGAGAGGAGAATTGAGAGAATAGAAAGGTGGGAGAAATCACTGCCAGCGCCGCCATGACAAGCAGCATGTGAAGATGCCGGTAAGCCATGAGGCAAGGTATAGATTTATGGAAATGGATTAATTTAAGCTATAAGAACAGTTAGCAAGAAGCCTGCCATGGCCATACAGTTTGTAAGCAATATAAGTCTCTGTGTTTACTTGGTTGGGTCTGAGCGGCTGTGGGACTGACGGGTGACAAAGATTTGTCCTGACTGTGGGCAAGGCAGGAAAACTCTAGCTACAATAGTATACTACATAAATAAAGTATTTCCTTGGCTTTGTTGTGTTTTGACTAAGTCTATAGCCTTCCTAAAACTCCCTCATTTATGCTCTCATTGCTTTTTCTTTTCACTGATGTTTCTTCTGGATAATCTGCTCCTCCCTTCCCAGAGTGTCCATCAATGTCTGAGGCAGATGGGAGAACTTTCCCTGCCCATCTCCCACCAGCTGCAACATTCAGGAGAGCAGGCCCTGCACCTCACCTAGGCAGCACAATAGAGCCAACCTATTGGCAGAGGTGTGGGTAAGCCAGCCTCAAAGTTGTGAGCATGGGCGAAAGAGCTGTGCCCTTTACTCATCTGCCTTGTGGTGGCATGCATGAAGGAGAAATGCTCCCATCAATGCTTGAGGCAGGTGGGAGAGCTGTCCCTGAGGTCATAAGAACAGGAGAGCTGACCTGCTCCTTATCAGCTGCAGTACTCTGGAGAGTGGCCCTTACACCATGCCTGAGCAACACAGTAGAGCTGGCCCTGAAAGTGGGTGTGGGAGAACCTATGCTGAGTATTTGAAAGCCAGAGAACTGACCATGCCCTTTGCTCATTGCTGCAAATGGTGAAGTAGCCATAGCAATCCTGGAGAGCCCACCCTAGTGATGAAGACAGGAGAGATCTGACCACCCCTGCAAGTACCAAGGGCCAGACCCAGGGTCATATTTTGGCCCACCCCATCTGTGATATGCTGGAGTATGGGGGTAGGGGCAGGGGTTCAGTCCTGTGGACCCAGAGCTTCAGGATCTCCATGACATAACACAGCAATGAGATGTCCAGGAAGAGTCCCAGTGAGGGCTCCATGTCTTTGGTACAGCAGAGACCAGGAGCCTAGAGTGATTCTTTTCCATCAATGCCTGCATGTAAAAATACATGAATCAAGGGGTTTACTTTGTGACTCACTGTGTCATACTGCAACTTCTGTGATGGGATTTTCCCCTTCCATTTTTCTTTTCTTTCTTGCTTTTTCCTGTTTTTCTCTTAAATTTTATTTTGTTTTATTTTAGGGTGATGAGGGATATGGGTAGGATCAGTTGGCATGATGTGAAAGACACAAAGAATAAAAAAATAAATTCTGGACTACATAGTTCCATGCAAGCCTAAGCTACATATCTAGACCCTGTCTCAAAACTTCAAAAGCAAAAACAAAAGAGAAATTGTAGATTCTACAAGCATTTTCTTCCAACTAAGTAAGTGGTAATATATTATAAGTAGATTTTCCCCACAATCAAATAATTTCTGGAGGGAGCAAGTACAAAGAGAAGGGAAGCACAATAGCCAAACACACGTGGTGACTGAGCCTTCCTCTTATGCAGACACTGAAGGCTTGGGTACAGCAGGCTTTGGAAGTGAGGCATTATAAACACAGGTGCTGCAGCCCAGCCATGAGTGCTTGCACCTGCAGCCCCAGTTAGCCTCGTTTGGCTGAGGCAGAGGGGGCAATGTTAGTGTGAAGAAGAGCTGGTTACACCCATGAAACAACACTTTGCAATTTTCTGTTGAGTGTGACAGGTACAAGTGATCATTCTGTGACAGCAATCTTGGGTTGCTACATGGGTGATTAGTGATCAGGGGCTATTTTAGGATGAATCAGGATGTTCAGCATGACAATATCTGAGCTATAAAAAAGAATAATTTCAAACATGTTTTGGGTCTGTAAATCCAATTTTCACATGATTATTTCATAAGGTAGTCTCAAGGAAAGGAAAACAAATGTGAATATGTGCTGTGCCTCTCCAACCAGTCACCAGTCCCTTAGAGACAACTCAGATGTCCCTGTCACTTTCCACTAGAGACACTATTTTAATTCAGGTTATTGACTGGCTATTTAGCATTTAGCTATTACCACCCTGAGCTAAAAACAAGAAAAAGTAACCTTTGGTACAGCCTTATTCTAGGTCTGTTGATGTGATTTCATGGGGCTTACTCCAGGCTGATGAAGGATCACACGTACAAGGCCTACATGAACTACAGAATGAGTTCAAGGTCAGCAAGAGAAACTTTTGAGAGCTTATCTCAAAGGAAAAAGAAAACAAGGATCTTAGAATTCAGTTAGAGGAGCATTTATGTAGCAGGTAGGAGGCCCTGAGTTCACTCCCTAGCACCACATAAAAAAGCAGTTAAATAACCAGCCATATCTGTAATGATTGCTTCTTCCTCCTTATGAGGACCACTTCAGATGAGACAGGACTTAAAGGGACATTAGAGAAACTTCTAACTCAAGCTTAGAGGTGAAGACTAGAGTCCATTAGCAAAGTCTAATGTGCTAATATCAGCATCTAACCTTCCTTAATTTATCTGTAATTTATGGTCGCTCATCTTTAATTTCTTTGTCAAAAGTGTTTCTTTCAGAAGTGAAGCCTCTTGGGGCCCAGAGAGATGGGTTAGCAGTTAAGAGCCCTTGCTGCTCTTTCAGAGGACAGGAATTTGGGTCCAGCACCCATATTGCATAGATGACAACAACCTGTAATTCTAGTTCAGATAAGGTGGTGTGACATCCTCTTCTGCTGGCATTTGTGGACCTTTAGAACATTTAGAAAGTGCATGAAAACCTTTAAAGCTCTTAGGTCACATGTTTGCAAGTTAATTTCCTCATACCAAGCATTAAGCAACAGAAAGATAAAAATAATTATTACTTAGCCAGAACCTGGAAACAACCTAGATGCCCGTCAACGGAAGAATGGATGAAAAAAAAAATGTGGTACATATACACAATGGAGTACTACTCAGCAGAGAAAAACAATGAAAGCATGAGATTTGCAGGCAAATGGATGGAACTAGAAAAAATCATCCTGAGTGAGGTAACCCAAACCCAGAAAGACAGTCATGGTATGTACTCACTCATAAGTGGATTCCAGATATAAAATAAAGAACAATCAGACCACAACCCAAAGAACCATGGAGGCTATATATATATAGCATGGAGGTCCCTAAGACGACTGTGGCTCATAATAAATTTCGGTTTTACTCAATTATTGAAAAAAAAAGCCAAACCAATGGAAACACATGAACTATGAACCAAAGGCTGAGGGGCCCCCAGCTGGATCAGGCCCTCTGAATAGGTGAGACAGTTGATTGGCTTGATCAGTTTGGGAGGCAACTAGGCAGTGGGACTGAGTCCTGTGCTCATTGCATGAGTTGGCTGTTTGAAACCTGGAGCTTATGCAGGGACACTTGGCTCAGTCTGGGAGGAAGGGACTGGACTTGCCTGGACTGAGTGAGTCTACCAGGTTGATTGCAGTCCTCGGGAGAGGATTTGCCCTGGAGGAGGTGGGAATGGGGGGTAGGCTGGGGGTAAGGGGAAGGCGTGGAAGGGGGGAGAACAGGGGAACCCGTGGCTGATATGTAGAACTGAATGGTATTGTAAAATAAAATAAAATGAATAAAGAAAAAACAAAACAAAAAGAAAAGAAAAAGAAAGTACCCACAGACATAAGCACTTCTCAAAATATAACAGCACACTGACATTCTAGGCACAAGTTTTCTGAAAGACAGATAGATAATGAGGTTATATTTCTGCTGTGTCTTGCTCTTCATTTAAGGCAAATCTCAATCCAAAGACAACTCAACCTGTGGAACCCAGACTTTAATATCCAACAGCCTGAGAGGCAGGAGCAGTTGACTGGGATTGGTAGAATTAAACCAGAATTATATAAGCAGAGGTCACTGGACAGAAATGACAAGAATAACAGCAAAGCCTGTGGGAAACTGAACTTCATTTTAAACTATGACTGCACTTGAAACAGTTCATCCTGAAGATGCAGAGATGTCAATTTGCCAGCCAAGGACTTCTCTGGGACTTCAGATCCTTATATCAAGATCAAATTGCTTACTAACAGGACAACAAAACTGGTAAGTTTTGAATCCCCATTCATTGGTTTTTCTGCTGCTGCTGTAATAAGCCAATCAAGCTAAATTAATAAATCCAGGTTTAATAAACAGAGCAAGAAATCCTAGGTGACCCTTGGGATGGCAGGAGAGGAATCATGTGCCAAATAGAGCTACCAGGTCTTAAGTAGCCCCTATGGGAAGAGCTGACCCTTGACAGGCTTTCAGGAGGGATGGGCTGTTGCTTGGTAAGCTCTTTGAAAGGGGCAGGGTCTGGGGAGAGAGAGATTGGTGTACTACCTAATCATCCCAGATTCTTTGTGTATATGGATCAGGGGCTGGGGTAGAGCTTCCACCAGAACAAAAACACCAGACTAAAGTTCACAGGAAGACCCTGAACCCTGTATTTGATAAGGTTTTTTTTCTTATTTTATCACTACAAATTTTATTCAGACTCATCTTTTTTGGTTGTTAATAAAAAAACAACTCCCAATATGAACTGGCTTGTCAACCAACTACAACAACACTGTCTAGCAGACATACGGTATAAATAGCTGGACTCAGAATCTCTCATCTCTCTTGAGGTATCTGGAATGCCTACTGTCATACTCTTGTCCTCCACCTCCTCTGCTGCCACCATGCCTAATGTCTCTGGATGGAGAACGCCTTTCCCAGGATCGGGACCTGGATCTATGCTTCTTGCACTGGCACCAAGACAGCTTCCTTTTGAGCTCTCTTGAGATTGGCTTCAGATGCATGAAGTTGCAGAAGCCCATTCTTGTGCACTCTCCCATCTCATATTGGCGGCAGCAGGCTTCCCTGAAGTCAGTCACTGGGGACAGCTCTGAATGGATTGGCTGCCCATTAAACCAGCGGTTATTCAAGTCCATCACAGCTCTCTCTGCATCCTCCTCATAACGAAACTTGACATACACATTCCCCACCAGGTGGTCTCCTAGGTTGTCACAGACGTCCATCTCTTCAACCTGTCCATACTTTTCTTCCATCTCAGTGAAGACTTCCTCAAAGAACTCATCATAGTGCTCCTGCATCTCCAAGTCACTCATAGTGCAGGGCAAACCATCAGCAGACTGGGCAGAGTTTTGAGGGTTATGGTAAATGTTCAAGAGGGCAATGGTCTGGCTAAAGGTTGGTTTATTGTGCAACCGCGAACATTTATCTCCATGACGGCATGCTCCAGTTTTGAAATAAAATGAACAGTTGACTCTGTAAGGAAATAAGAACTGATTATTTCTGGGAAGATATGGCAGAAACATCATTAACCCAATCCTATTTCCCAGCTACTTGTCTTCCAATCACAGAAGTTTAGCAGCTCTTGATGGCTGTGTTTTCTCTTACAGGAAGTACGTTAGAGGTTGTAACTCCAGCCCCCTACAGAAGTGTTCTAATTCTAACCTGCTTCCTGCTACTCTAAACCCCTTCTCCTTTTAATAAATTCTTTGCTTTTTTTTTTTTAAGAGTGCCACATTCTCTGGGTCCTGGATGTCACCTATAAAATAAGGACAATGCCAATGAGGCATTCTTCTAAGAACTGAAATGTATATTCTTATTCTCAGGCCTAAGTCCTGTCAGTATCTAAAGAAAACAAAAAGCAAAGTCCAGGTTCTCTCCAAACTCACATTCAGAGAGGAAATTTCCAAACTGGTCTGAAGCAAGTAGGTCTCTGGGAAACCTCATTGCAGACATACTATTTGGAGACCCAGCTTGCCTTAGAAACCACACAGCAGTACATGTCTGCCACAGAGCCTCTTTAGCAGTGCTCATATACTTCATGGAACCACAGCCATGCAAACCATCAGGTGCTGGGTGGTCTGTAAGATCTGTGATATGAACTGTTACCTGATGCAGCTTCCCTATTCAGTTGTCAGCTGCAGAGGGAGGAATGCTGTCCCACAGACACTTTTAGCAAGAGCCACAAGCTTAGGTCCTCACCCTGAGGGAAAGACTGAAGGTCTCAATCTCAGTGAAATCTGGTGGACCATGAAGACCAGTTATCCTCTAGTTCTGAGCAGACAGGAACAAATACAGCAAAGTCTGAGTTTATAAGGAGAGGAAAATGATTGCCAGTGACCTCCTTACTTCATGCAACCTAACTGGATTAGACAATATCTCTTTAGAAAATCAACTGAAAATAAAGAGCTTGTTGGACAAACGTCTGGCTGAAAATACACAAGGGTTCCACATGAAACTTCTCAGTCCTGCACTTCCAGCAAACACTTTTGCTTCAGTCAATAAATTATCTAAGTTACTAAAATGAAACTACAAGGAAGTTCAATGGTGGTGGTCTTTAATCCCAGCACTTAGGAGGCAGTGGTAGGTAGATCTCTGAGTTAGAGGTTTGCCTGGCCTACAAATTGGGTTCCAGGACAGCCAGGACTACACGGAGAAACCCTGTCTTGGGGTGTAGGTAGTACAAGAGAAAGGGGTGATTTCTGTCAGACAAGCTGAATATAGAAAAATGTCATGACTTATAATATCACAGCTAAATATTTTATTGGAAAAGACCCAAATTTTACTTCTTAAAAGACCCAAAAGTTAATAGGCACCCCATGTTCCTGTTATAAATGATTGTTTCTGCTGAAATAGAGTAAGTACCTAGATTTCAAAACAAAACAAAACAAAAATCTGAATTGCTTGCTGAGATACCACTTCACTACACAGATACGTACACAGGGCCAGAACTACTATATCGTTGGTTCTTTAATTCCCAGCCTTTAGGCATTTATGAATGGAAGCTCTCATGTCACAACTGGCATGCACATTTGATTATATTCTAGGCCATCTTCTCTGTGACCTCAGCATTTAGGAAATTCACTCTTCCACAGCACCAAACAAATTTGCAAATACTTATTTATTGAGACGGAGTCTCCATATAGTTCTGGCTGTCCTGTAACCTGCTATCTAGACCAGACTGGCCTCTAACTCAAAGAGATCCATGTGTCTCTACCTCCGAAGTGCTTAGATACATGGCATGTACCAACACACCTGGCTTTGAATGTTTATTTTATAGTACTTCAAAAGTTTTATTTTAAATTATGTATTTGTGGCTGGGTAGTGGTGGCACATGTATTTAAACCTAGCACTCAGGAAACAGTCAAGGCCAGTCTCTCAGTTCAAGGCCAGTTTGGTTTATAGAGAGAGTTCCAGAACAGCCAGGGCTGTGAAGAGAAACCCTGTCTCAAAAAACAAAAAGTATATGTGGAGGTGGATGTGCATTCCTGAGTGCAGGTGCCTGTGGTAGCTAGAGACAAAGGATCTCCACAGATCTGGAGTTATAGGTGGTTCTGAGACATGAGATTGTATCATATGGATTTGGAGAACCAAACTCCTGGCCTCTGCAAGAGCAGTTCACACTCTGAACCACTGAACTGTATTTTAGTCATCCTGAACACAACCCATACAGCCCTCCTCCATGACCACTGAGAACCCAAATTTTATCCCATCTGATTCTCTAAAATGTCCCAGTAAAATGTCTCTACAGTGACTGCTGATTTGGGCATGAGATTTTTAGAAATATTCCCTCTTTCAAACAGAGCAGACTATTTGCATAATGGTGACTGATCAGACAGCCTCCATCCTGAATAGTAGAACATTTTCAACAGTGAGAATGTGGCACCAAAAGTGTTATCTATTGCAAACACAGAGGCTTTCCATCACGGATATCTGTATAACCTTATAAGAGGTTCAGGAACACCAAGATGGTGACAACTTACTTAGAGCAGATTAAGCCAGACATTTAATCTTTCGGTTTTCAAAGGAAGAATTATTCTTCAAAGCCTCTGAAGACATTTCCTTGAGACTAAACTTCAGTCAGCACACTGGAACTTAGTATATGCCACGGTGGCATACAAATACAAGCGAATTAATGTTATTTTTTTCTCTTACCCTATGCAAACCTTATTTTAAAAAGAGGAGCAGGCCCGCCAAGGCTTAGGTAGGCAAGAGCTTTATTTCTTCCACACCACTCCCTGTGATCAGCTCCAGAGACTGAGTTTTAGGGAGGATGGTGCCAAGGCACTTGACAGGACACTCAAAGCCCTAAGTTGCAAGAAATGCCACAGAAGCCAGGGTATCAGTGACAGCGTGGTGTGGAGCAGAGTCCCAAGGGGAACCTGGTGTGGAACCCCATGGAGCACGAGGCCCTGCCCCAGCCACCCCCTAGGTCCTACCGCCCAGCCCAGGAGGCAGCTAAGCCCAGATGGCCTCCAGGGCATTCCCACCCACCACACCTGGACACAGCCTTCTCTCGCCTGGGTCCGCACTGGTTGCCAATCGCCACCCCGGCCCAAGCCCTGGTAGGCTGCCCCTCACTTGTCTTTCTCGGTGCCGAAGATGGAAGCCAAGTATTCTGCCATTTCCAGGGGACGGATCCAGTAAAGCAGCCAGCGCCACAGACTTTGTTGAGGTACTCAGAAGACCTCGCCAGTTAAGAAGACACTGTACACGCCTATGTAGTGATGCGTCCAATTGGGAGAGGTGCTACCTGTGCGGGGGGCGGGACGAAGAACTCGCAGAGGCTTTGCCCTCTGACCCTGATGCTTGCATACTCCGTGTCCCCGAGGTTCCCGCGAGCTGCCTGGTGCCTGGGCTGTGAACTGCGGCTCCAGGCATGCTCAGTGCCCTGGTTTCCCCGTTCCTGCTCTGGGACCTCGCCTTCGACCCTTGCTGGTCCTCAGGCTCCAGGCCTCTCACTGTAGACAAGGACCCCTACTCGGCCTCCTGGAGGGATTTAAACCTATAACATCCCCACAGTTACCAGCTCACCTTCAAGTTAACAGCTTTCCAGGTAGAGCCTAATCCTGTTGTCTCCAGCTGAGACCCAGGCAGAGGGATCATCTTGGTTTGATGACCTTATGTATTTTCTCCGGCTATAGAGCCTCTTCCACCCGAGGGTGAACCATTGAAGAGGGAAGGAAGGCTGCTGGATTGTGGGAAGCTGAGGTCTCCATACAGGCTCTCACGAATTAACATGGTTACTGGAGCCAGATGAGGAGATGAGGTGTTTTTACTTCCTGTTCCCTACAATGACCTTGAAGCTCGGAAGCTTCACTTCTCTGTGTATGACTTTGATAGGTTCTCTCACCATGACTTGATTGGCCAAGTAGTGGTGGACCACTTCGACTTAGCTGATTTTCCCAGGGACAGCATCATTTGGAAGGATATTGAGTAAGTCAGCAATGCGAGCCTAACATTTCTTCATTTGGTGTAAAGGGGTTGCTGTTTAGTTTTCACTGAAACAGACTGCTTACACATTATGTTATTTGAGAGCAAACTATAAAAGTCACAATGATACTTTTCTGTTTTTTAAAGAATCTCTTTACGTTCTGGAGGGATAGATTTTTAACATTGATTTTGATATATACAAGAAAAGTTTGCTAAATTATTAAGGAATCCCTTTTTCTCTTTCTTAGCTCTTCTCTATCAATCCTTACAACATTTTCTTCAGAGATATCTCAAGTTGTACTAACTGGGTCCTGGCCTCCTATTCACTGTATTCTACAGCAGAAAGTCTATTGCCTGAATCGACACAGTATCAAGGCTATGACTGGGTTCTCCTATTGACTCAACAGTGATTCCAGGATCATTTCCTCATTTTTAACCTTGAGCCTGGGAATGGTTGAGAAGACCCCTATGGTGATATTTTAATTGTGCTGAAATGTGATTTTATTTGTATATTAACAAATAAAGTTTGCCTGCAGATCAGAGGTCACTATCGAACCAGGAATAGAAGTCAGATGGTGGTAGCCCACGCCCTTAATCGGATCACATGGCAGGCAGAGTCTCTGTGTGGTCAAGGACACAGCCAAGCATGGTGACCCTTGATTTTTTAATCCCAGTACCAACCATAGAGACCTGGAGGTCTGTATAGACTGGAAGTGAGGAGGAAGTCATGTGGTTGGGTTTAAAGCCAATGAGAAAGCAGAACAGAAAGGCAATAAAAAGACAAGTCACACAGGAAGAAGGTCTCTCTCTCAGGGGAAGGAAGACAGTGAGTAGTAAGCTAAAGGCAGCTGTGGCTTTTGCTCTGATCTCTTAGGCTTTAACTCTGTATTTGGCTCTGTGTTTCTTATTTAATAAGACAGCTTAGAATTTCATCTACAGACTTCGAATTGTAATTTCAAACATAAAACTCATCAATTAAAATTATAATGAAGTCAGAAAAGAGGACAGAAGGACATGTCTCATGTCATACTTGGGGAGAAGGCAGAGAGTCTATGTAGCCATGTTTACATTCCACACATGGGATACCATGGGATGCTTTTCCTCCATTTACATTCTTGTCACTCCCTGCTGAGCCTGCCTGAAGCTCCAGGCTGAGCAAAACAGGACTTTCTTAGGGAACTGATACTTTCAAGTTGCCTGTTGAGATTCCCTGAGGCTACTCTTAGTGCCTTTTCTTGAGTCCAGTGTTGCCCTCTTCACCTTGGGATCCAGAGGGACCAAAATCTGCTTCTGGATTCCTTTTCCCAGCCATTGTTCTGCTGCACTGCACCTTCACATGGCATGGTTTGCCAATCACTCTTATTCCAGAATGCACCTTAACATCTAAAAAAGCAAAAATTTCCATTGGTTCAGTTTTCTCTGATACTTGATTTTTACATAATTTTTAGAGCTGCATTGTCAAACAAAAATTCTTTGTTTTAGGATCTTAAACTATCAATATATTACAAGAACTAGATCGCAGGAAAATACAGATTTTTAAAAGTTAGAATTTTCTCCCTTTCATTTTCAATTTGTCTTAACCATACACTGATACAATTTGTAGTCTTCCCTGGGACTCTGAATCCTCAAATTCAACTGAAAATATTTTTGAAATGCATTTGTATAGCACTGACATGGCATAACGTGTTATGTCCTAGAGGGATTGGGTAGAGCATTTGCCTAGCATGAGCAAATGATCTTGTCTGATTTTGGAGTGTGTGAAGTCTATGGGGCAGTTTTAATAAAGTTCACATCTTTGCAATCACAGTGTTCTTTCCATTTATGTAGTCTTTATTTGAAGCCTTGCCTTCAGGACTTGTGATTTTTCTACATAAAGTTCTTGCCAGACTCTTGTTGGATTTGTTGATAGCTACCCATTTTTGTTACCTCAAGTGATAAACTCTAAAGTAGCATTTTGTGACCTATTACAGGTATATGTGTGAAATTTTGTATTTTTCTCTTGTGAAATTCAATTCTTATAGGTGCTTCTGAATTTTCTCTGTAAATAATCAGTCATGTATGAATTATGATGGTTTTGCTGCTTTCTGGTCTGTACCTTTTATTTCTTAGTCTTTTTGGTTTTGTTGTTGTTGCTTAATGTACAAACTAGGATATCCAGTAGGGTTTGAACTAGTAAATATGGGGGCGGGCATCTTTGACTTGTTGCATATTTTAGATAGAATGTCTTTACATTCCTGTAGAGTATGATTTTTTTGCTAGAGGTATTGTGTGGGCACCTTCAACATATTCAGGAGGCATTCCTCTGCCAAATATGGTATCTCACACTGTCAATTCCAGCACTCAAGAAACCGAAGCAAGAGAATTACAAATTTGAGGCCAATGAGCTGCATAGTTAAACCTTGTCTCAAATAAAAAAGTCTATCTTTGTTCCTAGTGGACTGAGTTACATCATGAAAGGTTGTCCCTTTCTCAAATGCTATAACTATATACTCTATTATAACAACTATATTAATCTACTATGATGGTCAATTATATTGATCAGTTTTCTAATTTTTACTCAATCCTATATTCCTAGATTAATCCAAACTTGTTTTTTGTTTTGTTTTGTTTTGTTTTTGTTTTTCGAGACAGGGTTTCTCTGTGTTACTTTGCACCTGTCCTGGAACTCACTCTGTAGCCCAGGCTGGCCTCGAACTCACAGAGATCCACCTACCTCTGCCTCTCAAGTGCTGGGATTAAAGGCGTGCACCACCACTGCCCAGCTTCCCAAACTTGCTTTGATGTGTTACATTTTCTGTATGTTGCTGAGTTCAGTTTGCTGATGTGTTGTGCATTGAAACATGTGACTGGTACATGGAGTTCTCATGTGCTGTTCTTGTTTGCTCTGAAAGCAAGGTGGTTTTTACTTCATCACCTTAGTTGGAGGACTATTTTGGATCTTCCATTCATTCCTGCTTGGTGCCCCTGGAGGCCTCAGGTTTTTATTTCTCTCTCTCTCTCCATGCTGTAAAAACTCCCTTGGTGTTTGGCTTCTCCCGAGGTTCAGACAACAAAGAAGTGAGGAGAGGGAAACTGGGATGTCTGTTTCTTGGAAAGTCTGTGGACTGGCCATAACCTCCAGTCAAACCCAACACTCCCAAAAGTGTCTTTGTTTTGAGGTTATTCTTTGAAGGCTACTTTTCTGGGAATAAAATTTAGGTGACTAAAACTCTCTGTTACTTTGATTTGGGGGATGTGAGCTAATCATTCCATTGTTTCCTAACTTCCTTTTTAAAGTCAATATTTAGTGTGCCATTTACTACTGTGTATGTCAGTTTTCCCTTTTATTGATCTCTAGATCTTCCTTTCCTTCTTAGTGTTCTATACTTTAATTACAATATTGCTATTAGGCATTTCTTTTTGTTTATCTTGATCAGGATTTAGTCCTGAATATGAGTATCTTTTCTCTAATTAATTCTGGAAAATTCTTAGCCATTTATTTTTTCCCATTATTTGACATTTTTGTACTTTTTAAATTTATTTGATCATCTCATTCCCCCTCAATATACTTTCCATTTCTTTTATACATTCACATGCATACACATACATACATGCATAGCTATGTATACATTTATAAGTGTATGCATATATGTATGTATGTATTTTATATGTAGTTGCTTTTGTATTTTATTCCTTGTGGCTACAGTTGAGATTTGAGCATCTCTGGCTCTTTTGCTTGGCATTTCTATTGGCTAATGACTCATCAGGTCTTACTGCCTATTTTATTTGTTTTATTTATTAATTTTGCTATGAAATTATCTGGCTTGAAACTTTATAAAAATGTGTGCATTTAAAATACATTCCTCCAACCATGATTTGAGATTGAGTCTATAAGATGTAAAAGTGAACAGTTTAAAAAAAAAATCCTGAGCTTTAGAGATTTGGGCGGTTGGCAGTATGTGCTATTGGTTGGAAACTGGTTACAGAGATGCTTTTTTCCCCTCCTTTTTCTAGGTTAAGTCCAAGACAGGATGTATCCCCACTATCTACCTGTTTCACTCATCTTTTAACAATGTGACCTGGGCTTTGGGAATCTAGCTTTAAGCAGGACTGTCTCACGGTCCTTTGAATACCAGGAGCTAAACAGTAGAGCACATTCCCCTCTTTCCAACCCCAGCTCCAGGGCTTACTTACTCGGTGGATTCATAGTTAT